AATTCGGTTATTTGGTCGAAGGATAATGTTATAATACCTTTGGTGTCATTTTATAAAAGTAGGTTTACTGGGATAAATATAATTTCATTATAATGTAAACAGAGGCAGTAGCGTAAATTTTATAACATCGAATTTACGATCACGATTTGCTGTCATAATATAATCATCTCACTTGAATGCACGGATGGCGTAGTGGTTTAAGCGGTCGCTACGCTGAGAGTTGTGTGTCCGATCCCCACACGGGACGACACTTTGTGTAATCCACAAATTGTTGTTCTGAGTCTGGTTGTTCTTTATGTCCGTTTCATGTGTTTGTAAAGTCCCCGCAACATCTGATATATTCCTAATGCGGGAGTTGTATTTTTAAAAGAAAAAGAAAAGAAAAAAAAGACAATTTGATCTCACACACAGCCATCTGATCCCAAACTATGTAACCAGCATAGCCTGTACTGTATGACCAAACTGCTGATAAACATACTTATATATTTTAATTTCACGAATACATAATTAACAACCCTTTTACCTTAATAGGTCCAGTAGATTTGGATTAAATTGGCCGTGATAGATAAATAGAAAGACGCCTGAGGAATCTTATGAGGCATCCGTTTTTTGACGTGGGAACCCCAAATAATGGACTTTTTGCCATTAGATTCAAACTTAGAGAAGAGTTTTTAATATTTACAAAAGTTTTGAAGTAAGTAGTTAAAAGTGAAATAATTTAGAAATTATTGTTTAATGAAATCTTTGACTTTAAGTAATTGTTTGTTTCAGACGGTTGCTTTCTTGGTGGGTTAATAACCTTATCAAAAGATTTCTAATATGAAATACAGCGTTTAAATTCAAGTTATTTATTTCGCCAAAATTTAATTAAAATTTACGTCTGGAAATCATAAAGTTAGTGCATGCTTTTATATGTTGCAGTCACTTGAGATTTCATTTCTCCAGTATTCATATATGGAATATACTTTTTTTAAAATGCTAGGGGCAGATGAGCAGACGGGTCACCTGATGGTAAGTGACAACCGCCACTCATGGACACCTGCAACTTAAGAGTTACAAGTGCGTAGTCCAGAGTGATCGTATCAGGAAGAGGCGGGGTTTTAGCTATGGTGACGTCACTCACTGGTTGAAAAACGAAGAATTGCTTAACAACAGAAGCACTAGTGTGAGATTATTTAACGGCGACCGCGTACGGCGCTGTAATTGGTGTGGAGTTTATCGCGGGGCAATCGCAACGCCTAACGGGCTCACGGTGAATATCGAGTATAAGTGAAATAAACTCGGCCCTAGGGCCTCTGTTTGCTGGGAGGCCGTTAATCACTCCACTTGAACCGGTCCCTTGGTGTCGAAGCATAGGTCTCCCAGGGTAAAAATATATCAGCTGTTTCCTAACATATTCATCTGATTCTTGATTTAAAAAGAAGTTGTATGCAAAAAAAGGATAAGACAGATATAAAAATGACATATGTACAATTTATAGTGTGAACGAATCGTTTCAAAATCACTTTGCAATTAAAATGCAAATACACATTCAATTAATGTATTTATTGCGCATAAAACACATGTACATAATAAAACTACGAATGTTTGATATGTTTTTGATTAATAGTTAATTTTACTATATATCTAGTTAGTAAGTTAGAGCATACGCCCTAGTGAGTGAGGTTACCGCAGCCTCCAGCAATCTATTCTGCCATGCTGGCCGGTGAGGAGGGCTGGAGCGCAATGATCTCTTTCTGTGAAACTGTAATACTCCAGAAAGAAACCTTTGAATGGGATCGGGAGAGGGCCTATCCCGAGCGTAGAGGACGTCGGCAGCGATACCAGCCGGCGACGGGGCCGCAGGCTGCCAGACAGTGGGGACTGGTGGCAGATTAACTGCTGCGGTAGGCGATAGGATAGCGAAAAATGCGATCAGTCCACAAGATATTATAATGATTGGGCCGATAGGCGGGGAAACCGTGGCTTTCCCGGGATAGGCCTTTACTAGGTTCGGCGTCGATCCGGGGGGGGGGGACCTGAAATAACATGGTCCGGGTCCTCCTCGGAGTAGGACGCGCTTGTGATGGTAATAATATAGTATTAACTACTTGAGGCACCTCACATACGGCCGTCTGGTCAACTAGTCAGAGGCAGTACCATCATTACTATAATACCCAAACTGTTGATATATATACCTATACTCATACGTTAGTGAATACATACTTGTCATATTTAAGTTATATAGACACCAAATCATCATATAAGTGTTTGCCCTGCATGAAAATCGAATCCACTACCTCTAGCTCAGCAGCAAAATCATGTTAAAAAAAAAAAAAACCCGATTCTATGACTGATCTTAGTGGTTAGGTTAGGTGACCTGACCGTTAGGTTGAGGTCGTGGGTTTGATTCCCACCCAGCACAGATCACACACAAATTTATGTTGTTTGAGTGTGATTTATCTGAAAAATGTAAGTGTGTGTTTAAAAATATATAAAGTATGTTAATAAGCAGAAAATTACCATAACACAGACACCGCCTAATTTGGAATCAGACGGCTGTGTGTAAGATGTGCATATTAAAATGTATGACGTGACACAATACGACACAATATGAACTCAACTTTAGAAAAGTACCTACACATGGCCATCACATAATGTAGCTGTCACATGACCATGTCTGACTGACGCCTTTCTTCTTGCCTTGGATAAAGTCAACAAGAACAACATGGCCGATCATAAAACAACATTATAATTTGATATGATAATATATAATAATACATATCTGTAACACTGTTATTATGTCTAATGTTTGTTCTGGGACAGGCTTAGGCAGTCAACCTATGTGATTAAAACTTATTATCTCAATGGGTTTGTCTTTGGCTAGAGAGCCTGTACTAAAAATAAAAGCCTTTTTTTACTGACCATATTACACATTTTAACTTATATACTACTTACAAAACAATTTTCTCGAATTTTCGATAAAATATTTTCTTTAGCAACCAGTTAGTCAGGTTGTCTTTCGACATAGACCTCCCCCAGTTCCTTCCACTTATCTCTATCTCGAGCTACCCTTATCCATCCTTTCGGCAAATCATCCTCCCATCTTTTGATTTGTCGTCCTCTTCGTCTTTTCCTATTTCTGGGGTACCATTCCATTACATCCTTAGTCCATTTTTTTGCCTGTGCTACTTGTATATAAATACACACATATTATAGATACATTACACCCAGATACGAAACAAATGATCATACTTGTTACAATTACTTGTGCTGGGTGGAACTCCAAACCACAGCCATCGGCGCAGCAGTCTGGACCACTAGAGAGTTGGATAAATATCGTACCTACTCCTTCCTAAAAGGCCGGCAACGCGTTTGTGAGTTTGTCCTGAGTTGCAGACGTTCATGGGTGGCGATGCTCACTTTCCATCAGGTGCCCTCTCCGCTCGTCTGCCCCGTCTAACATAAATAATAATAATATATAACTTAGTTAAAATTAGTAAGTTAGTTACTTAGTTAAAATTCATAAAGCAAATCTAAAGATTTACTTTATGAATTGTTTACATTTATATTATTACATCTAGCCGTTTTAACACATTTTCAAGTTTGATATATTTTGCAACTTAATTGCGTTACGCTAAAGATTTCAACCATTATATAAATACATTTGACTCTACTCTATAAATGATCATATATCAATATATTATAAGTTATTTATTACATATCTAAGGTCAGTTTTGTACTCAGTGTAACCGTAGGCGCAAGCAACGCGACCTCGATAGGAAGCAAATCTTTAATTGACAGCAACGACCTTAATGTTCAACGGTTCGATTATCAGGAACTTATAAATCGTTAGATATATTCTGAGGGACATGTATTTATTCTACGTCTTAAATAAACAAAGTTACGCGCAGTAGTTAAGAGTCTCTTCCTACTATCTGACGTAATAGTCATAGAAAATTTCATGGAGAGGAAATAAAAATATTTATCAGCCATAATAAATAACTTTGTAATAGGTTTTAACCAAAATATTAAATAGCTTAAGAAATAATATATATTAGTTTAAGAATTAATTAGAAAACAAAATAGTATAATATGTAAACAAATGTAAAACCTATAAATTTTAATAAGTAATATATAAATAAACAATAAAGAAACCCTGCAGCAAATAGCAGAGCTCCCAGGTATGAGAGATTGAGAAAGAACACGGATGTAAGTATAAGAAAAGCGAGAAGTTATGAAAAGATATGGATGGACAACGACTCCAAAATCTAAACATTGGAGGTGTTAGTAAAAAAAAAAAAAAAAAAAAAATAGGTTTTAACCTATTTTTAGGCTAGTTTTAGAAACACACCCCGCACTATACACATATCTCCGTAAAAACAGACTTTTATTACCTTAGAGCACTGGGACCAATTTATCTCAATTATTTTTAATTCAGGCTCATCCAATAAAACTGTAACCTTGACTTGCCTAATAGTTGACAAAAGTAGAAATAAATTCTCAAATGTTCCAAACTTATTTATAAAAACTAAACGGGTTTACTCTGTTTGTATTTAGCTGCTGGTGCAACGCCTAATATCGATGCAGGAGGTCGCTTCGCCCCTGATACAGTTCCCCCGTCGAGTCCTAAAGTGGTCGATAATCTTCTAATTATGGATTTATACTTATCTGTACTAATATGGTAGATGAAAAGTTTTTGATGTGTAATATATTCGTTCTTTTTAATTCTTTATTTTGCAGCGTCATTTTCTCACTGCAGAAATATAATTCACCGTTGGTAATTGTAATAAAGTACTAAATTATGTAAATCAAGCATATCGTTAAATCTTACATAATTACAAGAATTTAAGTATAATCAGTTCACTTCTTATCATTATTTTATATTTTTGAAAATTATTATGTTACGGAAAATGACGCAGAAGTAAAAAGAGCGAAGAAGAATCCATCTGCATTATGTGGAAGTGATTTTGTGAAAAGGGACGGATTGTGTAACACTAAGTGTGCGAGCTATCTGAGTAATGAGTGAGCGTGTTGTGGTTGATATTAGGTGAGATATCAAAATATTGTTATACATCATATGCGACTACTGTCAGTGTGTTTGATTGTTTGTTTCAGTGTGTTAAAATCACTATCTGTCATGAGATGCAACTGTCATCCAAAAAGCTTTTATTATTAGTTGCGATATACTGTTTATTTAGTAATTTGAGTTTAAAGAGTAGAACTCTGACCATAAACTAAGACGAAACTCCAGAAAAGCTTATGCCTTTATAAATTTGACTTTTCACAAAAGTTTTATTCCGACATGTTTCAAACTTCATGTACTCGTGTATTTTAGTTTTATAAATCACACCGGTACTTCAAAAATATGTTATATTTGTTGTATTCAGATATATTTACGTATAATAATATATTATTTATAAGTGGATAACACTACTAGGTATTTTTAACACTATCATTATTTTTTTCCGACTCATCTTAAAATGAGAGCAGGAAAAAACATGACGGAAAATCGCAGACTCCCAATTTCCATAACAGCCCTGTTTTTGCCGGCAGCCAATTAATCTATCAGACGCTTAACTGCCTTACACTTGAGTGAGTTTACATCTTCCACATGATAACTCTCAGGTTCTCGTAATTACCGACACAATTGTACATCTTCTATTTTTAGGATTAAAGAATGCTTTCGGGTTTTTTTTTAATTGTAGACGTATTAATGAATTGAAAATTTTAGATTATAACAGAATATTTATTACAGTACAAGTGTACAATATAGACGATTTAAATATACGAGGTCGCTGGACTTAAAACTAAGTAAACTTAACTCGTAAGAACTACAATAAACTTAAAAGTGTAATTCAATGTGGAGGGGCCCAATTCTAAATTTTTTATGTTAACTTTTTACTGAGATTGTAAAAGTAAATAATGTGCTTTTAATTTTTATTTCTATGGGATAAGAAACATGCCAATTTGGTTTTGCCACTGTCAATTAACGCAATTTTTCTTTGTTACAGGTTCTTGGCCATTTGGTGGCCATTAAAATGCCAAATCACCAAGCGCCGTGCAAGATTGATGATCGTCTTCATTTGGATCTTTGCCATCGTCGTCACAACACCTTGGGTCTTCTTCTTCGATATGGTGGTTGTATTTGAGGATAACCCTAATGTCCGGCTCTGCTTGGACGTATGGCCCAACCCCTTGAGTGAAATCCTGTACTTCGTGATTGGAAATCTTATTTTCTGTTACATACTGCCCATGGTTCTCATCTCAATGTGCTACATTCTTATCTGGATTAAAGTCTGGAGAAGAAATATTCCTACTGATACCCAAGACGCGCAGATGGAGAGAATGCAACAGAAATCCAAAGTAAAGGTCGTGAAGATGTTGGTTGCTGTCGTTATCCTTTTCGTCCTGTCATGGTTCCCGCTGTATCTCATCTTTGCAAGGATAAAACTTGGAGGACCTGTCCAAAAGTGGGAAGAAGAAATGTTTCCTGTTGTTACACCTCTAGCTCAATGGCTGGGATCGTCAAACTCATGCATAAACCCGATACTATATGCATTCTTCAACAAAAAGTACAGGAAAGGATTTGTGGCTATCATAAAGAGCAGGAAATGCTGTGGCAGGCTGCGTTACTACGAGACTATTGCCTTACAATCATCGAGTACCTCAACGCGAAAATCTTGGCATTACAACAACAACAACCATCAGTCGATCTCTCGACGATCACCTCCTGTTGACAAGAACGCGGTGTCGTTTATCTTCAACCACACGGGAGTGTAAGGAAACGTGAGACACTCCCTGGATTCTGTACTTAAAGACTCGGTCGGCCTTGCGTCAGGCACTGGGGCGCCGTGCGGCCAGACCTAGCGACGCGTCTCAGCATATCGACATGATACGACATTTTCTATAGGACACTTTTATTTCGACAGTTTTGTGTTATCTTGTGCGAGAACAACATTTTTGCCACCTTCAAACTAAGACATAGAGTATATAAGTGAACATAATCAGTGTTTATTATTAATGCTAGTTGTAATAACTTGAAACTTTTATACGTAAGTCGGTTAAAATGTTTTAAGAAGATTTATTTTTACACTGACTGTAATAATTAGGAGCGTACAGTGGAAACGCACATCGAGCACAAAGATTTGTAACAATAAGAAAATTTATAATTTAATAATTATTATCATTTGTATTTTATTACATTTTATTTACCTTTTTATACAAATGTCACTTATTTATTAAGTATTTGTAATTTTCGTTTCTGTTTTTAATACTCTAGATTTATTTGAAAGTTATATACGATAATTATAAATGTTTCTAACAAAAAAAAACAGTACTATATTAATAAATTAACTAATTTTTTACATGAAATAGATAACTACAGTACAAAAAAATATAGAAAATAAGTTTTCACAAGTTTGACGTACATTTATATGAAAATTCAAATTAAGTAGATTACTTTAAATATTGGAAAAAATAAATTATCTATTCATTTTGCTTAACTCTTACTTTCTAGCAATAAGTCATAAAAATTTCAGTAGTAATTTTTATTTATTTTCTCCATGTAATGATAAATATATTTTTAATTAATTATTTTATTCAAAGGACACATATTTATAATCGGCGTTGGTATGACACTATTATAGCGAATTTAGTACATCTTTAATCAGCTAACTTTAAACATAAGATTATTGTAGGTGTTGCGAATTAGCAATAGGCATTGTTTTTAGGCTCGTTAGAAATGAGATGGATATTGTTGTCTTAGAACCTCGTAACTTTGACGTAAACGGAGTATGTTCATCTGTTTTTTTACCCTTTTTTTTTCTGTGCGGAAATCCCTTCGGATACCACTTACCGGTGGAAATGTCAGACTCGAACCGACTAAAACCGCACGCCGTCTCAGGTACCTACCAGTAGTCGGGGAACCAGGTGTACCCTAGAAAGGAAATCATTGGTGACCCGACGTACCTCGGGCCATCTACGGCGGGTAGACGACCCCCCCTGTGTGGGAACCCCCATGTTCCCTTCTGCTTTTTACCCTTTTTTTTTCCGTGCTCAAATCCCCTCCGATACCACCTATCGGTGGCATGTCGGATGTTCTGCTTTTTACCCTGAAGCTAACTTAACTTTTTTGATGCACCAATCACTACCTTTCACCGATCTAATCATAGATAACGAAATTTCAATTACATGTAATCACAATTATTTTTTTTAATGATTTTTCAGTAAAAGCCTATAAAAGTAACTTAAACATTTCAATCTTGTCTTTTCATTATTAAGTTAAGTTAAGTTGAAATTTAATATTATTTCTATGTTGGCGGTAGCCAACATAGAAATAATATTAAATTTCAACTTGCATTTCATTCGTTTCATTCTTTCATTAATATGAAAGTGTGTGTGTAAACTTCAATTTTGTTTTTATTTATTTTTATAATTCCGGTCAGTTTCAAATATACAGTTCAAATATACAGTTAATGTATATTTCTTTTTTGACAAAAAATAAATAGAAATACCTACTAACTTTATACTTATAAATATTTTGACGAATTGAACCTTTTTTTATTATTAAAATGATTTGTTAAATTATTACTGCATTCAAGTATTTTATATTAGCTTCAAAATGTCAAGTTTGACAAGTTTTGATCGATAATATCAGTCTCAATTTAACCGATCTTCTATAATTAAATTATTGCCTGCGCACAGCACAGGTCAATAGCCGCTTATAATGCACAAAATAACAAAATACTATAATTATAATAGCAAAATTAGTTTAAGTATATGAATAAACATATTTTGTGAGAAATTCAACAAATATTATAAATTGTATTTAGAAAAATTGAAAAGATACAATATTACATTTAAATAATATATAAAATATAATTATATATTTAAATATGTATGGTTATAATATTATATTCCCATAATATATAATATAATATTACAGCGTATTCTCACTACCGCATTTATCATATATTTATACCTACATATTGTATTGTAACAAATCTATTACTGTTGTTATTTCATACAAAATTTAATATAAATAAAATGAAAATATTAATATATTAAAAATAATATTTAAGTAGCAGGTCGCACATCTAATAGATTTAAACGTTTTTAATTTTAACAAAATGTTGAAAAAATAAAAATATTTTTCTACTGCTAATGTCGAGTCGAACCAAGAAGTTTGTAGGATTTCAACTTTCACGCATTTTTAGTACGATCGAATAATTTATTAAATACACTGCTGTAACTCAATACATGTGTATTTTGTTTGTGTAGTATATCAAGGACAAAGTCGAAGCTTGCAAGACTGAAAACAAAATTGCGTGAAATTCCTTTAAAAGGACAATTCGTGTGATAATTGAAAAAGGATTTTGAATTCGACTATTTTTGTAGTTTTAAGCTTAACCCTAGCTTATTGAATTATTTTTGTAACCTGCCTGTTATTTGAAGCTTCCTACATTTTTGTGTGTTACAACATGTTTTCACTCGTAGATTTTATACAATCTTCAAAAGATTTATCTTTTTGGAGTAAAATTTCTAATCGCAAGACATAGGAACACAAGGCAATTTGTAAATAGAATATAAATAAGATATGTGCCGAGAATGTCATCCTGAGTAAGAAAACATTACATTTGGTACCTATATCGATGTTATAAAGCTGCTAGTAGCTAATTACTCAGGGATAGGGACTATGTACATTGAATATATTTATTTGTATTGAATTTATTTCAATTTATTCACATTATTGAAATGAAATACTTTTTTTTTGTTTCTGTAGATTTCATTGCAGTTCATTACAATTTTACCAATACTCGCAAAGTTTAAACAAATTATAAACTATGTAATATTTAAATATTAATTATGTTTAGAAATAACATATTTGATAATGGTTGAAACTGTTATCAATGTTTTTTTCTTGAGGCTTAACTGAAATAACACGATGGCATAAAGCTGGCTTAAAAGCTTTTAAAAAAAATTAAACTTGTTCCATAAGTTTCAAATGAACTCCAGATAAATTGACTACCGAAGAATTGAGAAAAGTGTTACCTCCGCGTCATAGAAAATTGCACTTTAATAAAGTTGACTTTGATTTCCCTCGACAAGAGAAGCTTTTCATTTGCTTGTGTGAAGATTTGAGGATTTACCAATTTAGTTAAAATTTTAATTTCTTCCTTTACCTTGAGAGGCCATTCAGTAAAGGTCTTCAAACATTAATATTTTAAGTTGACGACTCATACTGAATCAGACCTTACGCTAACCACTCAAGATACAAGTTTTAAAAGCCTCTAGTTAAAAAGCCTTATATGTCACATTAAAATAAAATAATAATATATATGTATTGTAATAGTTTTATGCTACTTACTAAAATGTCGATAAATTGTTGTTTTATACTAAAATGTTCTATTTATACACATTACATATTTACATCCGTGTGTCCGTGTCCGTGTCCGTGTGGTGACGGATTAAGAATACGGAGTGTCACCACCCCTATTCATCCCGCGGTTGTCGTAAGAGCTGACTTAGGGAGCAAAGTACGCAGGACAACAGCACTGCAAAGAGAAGGAAAACTTGACACAAACCCTATACCAACCCGTCTGGCCAGCGTGGTATAGTAGACCAAAACCTCCTTTCTAAGGAGAGGCCTATGTCCAGCAGTGGACTGTTAAAGGCTGTTAATGATGATAATGACATATTTACACACAAAAAAAGGTTTTTGTCAAATAATAAAAATAAATGTAAACAAAAAGTACATTGCGGACACATTTGGAATAGAAATATAATAACACAGTATATGTACTATATATTTATTTTATTGCAATTATGGAAGCATTTCTGTATAATATCGCTATAATTTTTTGCCAGGTTTAGTGTTAGATAATAATGTTTAATAAATATTAATTTTAATAATAATGTGAGACCTGATTTTAGACATTAAATTTATTAAATTTCATGTAATAAAATATTAATTCATGTAATCGTAAACTGTTTAATGTTACGACAAAATTTAATAGATTTTTCATTAAAAAATAATTTAGACAAGTAGTGTGTATAACATAAATGCTTGTAGTTTAGACATTTATTAAACTTTGTAAATGTAATTATAAATCATATTGTATTATAATGTATAAAAGTAGTTTGATGTTCTAAGCAATGTTAGAAGAATTATAGAAATTAGCAAGCTTTTTAGACCGGACAACTAATTTGGTTTATGAACATCATGAACAATAAAAAAGTTACAAAACTTTTTATACTAAAAAGTTACTGAACATTTTTTCTTTGGTGTTTATATATCAAATAAGTAGTCTTGTATAATCGATCAACACAAGATTCCTATATAATGTAAAGAAAAGCAATTTTGACATATGAAACAATGATTCTACGCCGTACAATTTACCAACATATCAATGAAAGTAACCTCCCAGTTTCAGTCGGTTAAAAGTGAGAAAAACTTTTTTCTGAAAAGGTTTTAGAATTTTACAAACTTTGAATGTACACCTTTTTTATGGAAACAGGAACCATTTTATATGATATCAATTTATATGTTTTTTTTTTCTTAATTCTGGTTTATTTTTTTCAAGATAAGATAATAATTCAACTCAGTGCTAATTAGAGTTATATTTGTAGCCTAGATATGTTTTCCGAACTAGTTTGCTCAGGTAGGTTAGCCTCTTTCAGTGCCTGTGAAGTGGCATTACTGCACCAGATTGAGTTCTAAGGAGATGTACTTAAGTGCTATTATGGTTCTGTGGTACTTTGTTACGTGTGACGTTAATCTC